CCCCCAAACCTTTTCATGGCTGGCCTTGGGGCTGAGCAAGTTGTTTTCCTTACCATTGCAGTGTCTGAGTGGGCAGGCTTAGAACAGAATGCTCTTGGGGCCCACAGGTCCTGAGGGGTGAGTTTATGAGTTTCAAGGGCAGAATGCAAACTCCAGCAGAAGGAAAAATCTTAACCTGAAGGCTTGAGCTCACAAAGTGCCTGCTTTGAGGGTTTTGGCCCAAGGGGCAGCTAGTATGTGCCCTGAATCCTAAGATGAGTAGAACCCGGGGAGTAAGGAGCAGTAGTTGTGATATCCTAATAGTCATGATAAAGTAGAAACCCAGGGAGGTTTGCCCCAACTTGTCTCCATGCCTTCTGAAATGTCAAGCCCGAAGGTGGTTTTCTGCTTTCTCTGGAAATGTCACCCAAGTTGTGGTCAGGCATAAAGGCAGTGTCTCATGGTGACATCGTGCGTTTTTTTTCCCCCTTCACAGGACAACTTCAGTGACAATACTAGGCATGCAAAACAGTGATTTACTCCCTTCTTTCATCCTGCCCAGGGCAATGGTGACCATCAACTTTAAGCCAATACAGGATTCTCTGGCATCCCATTCTGACCCATTCTGAGTGGGATTCAGCCTGTGGGAAGGAAGCTGAGAGGTGGCAGGGATTAATAAAGCAGTCCAGGGTCAGGGAGGGTCAGGAGAGGCTGGGGTTTAGAAAGTGCTGGTCCATCAGTCAAATTCTGGCCAATTCCGAGAGTCACCCAAAGATGAGCTGTCTTGTCAGGCATTGGATAACCTGCATCCAGCACTTGGGATGGTCCTGATGTCTGCTGGGTTGTGCTGCTTTTTCCATCAAATCCCAAAGGTGGTTGAGGAGCCCAAGAATGGATGCCATGGACTTCTGTCTTGCCTCCAGGTTTTAAGGGTAAGAAAGGCTCAAATGACAGACAGACCTGAATATGAATTCCTGGTCTCCTACTTAACTTACCAGCTGCATGGCCTTGGACAAATGAACATCTCTAAACCTCAGCATTCTCACCTGTAAAATAGGTATATTAACACTGCTTGCCCATGAAGTGGTGAGAATTAAATTAGGTAATACATGTAAATCACTCTGCACAGTGCCTGGTCCTGGGTTGGTGTACAGTAATTGTCAGCTGCCATTATTATTATTGTTTCTAATACTGGCTCTTTTTCTTTAGTAGAAGGAAAGAAGGCCTTCTTGCAGCTCAGTACATTCTACGTAGCTGGCACAGTACTTGGCTTCATTGCTTCTCTTGCATGGAAAATATTGCTCTCACTTTGGAAACAAGGGTTCTTTCTCAAAGTCCCCAGAGATAAATGAACACAATCCCTCCTGTCCTTCCTCCATCCCCCATTCCCTTTTCTTTCATTCTATTTTCTTCCAAAAGGTCACTATTTTTTTTTTTTTTAATATATCTTTATTTCAGAGAGAGGAAAGGAGAGGGAGAGAGAGAGACAGACAGAAACATCAATGATGAGAGAGTCATTGGGAATTGAGCCTGCAGCCTGGGCATGTGCCTTGACCGGGAATCGAACCTCGGATCTCTTAGATCCTAGGTCAATGCTCAACTGCTGAGCCACGCCCGGCCCGGGGGAGGCCATTATTTTGTAGATAAGAATCTTTTTTGTTCAGCTGATAACTCATCTGGTCTTTAGTGTTTTTCTTTGGGGGCTGTTGCAGTAGAAACAGGGTCAAATCATTTCTCTGAATCTTTTAGGGCCTCAGTCCCCTTGAGTCCTCTTTTTAAAAAAAAATCGTTAATGCTCAATTAAACTACTAAAAAACTGAAACATGTAAATGAATCTTCCTTTTAAACCCTGTAATCACCAGCCCTTTGTTGTTGCCACTTTTGCATTTTTAATAAATGGGCAGGCACTTAAAAGCCTTACTCAAGGCTGGAGTGCAATGAAACTTATAGCATAGTGTGCTTCTGCTGGCTTTATAGTCCCAACATGTATAAATATAGGCTGAGGTTAACATTATCAGCTCCATGTTTTTCTAAAAGTGGTCAAGGTCACTGC